AGGACTTGAAGATGAAATTGAATTAGGTGTTCCCAAGCTGTGTGTGTTACCATCCTTTCTTCCTCCAAATTTTAATGAATCTATCATGTATTCTTATGTTGTTTTCAACGGCATTGTGTTGAAGAAAGGTGTGTGTGTTTTAACTGACAATGGACAGGACTTGCCTCCATTTGGACTGATTAATTCAGTATTCGTTAATGCAAATCAAGAAGTATGCCTTGTCTATAAATGCCTAGAAACTGTTGAATTTTCAATCCATTATCATGCTTATGAAGTGAGGCCACTCTGTGCAATGAAAAGGCTATTGTTTATTCGTCAGTTGATCCATTCCCTGTATACTATTGTATGTCGTCCAAAGGAACGTGTTTTGTAACATTGCATCATGCCTTGTAATATATAAGGAAAATAAATAAACTATTGTTACTATTGAAATTTATTTTATCATAATTATTTTCCCCAACTTTCATTCAAATGACAAAAATATTATCTACAGTAACTCGAATAATAATGGTGCAGCTAAAAAGACACTAGTTAGTGGATCGCCATCATAACGTAGAGATGTTTATTTCACCAAACCAGTTACTTTTGGTGACACAGACACTGCAGCAACTGTAGTTCGGAGAAGTACAGTGCCCAATTACACTGTTTCGTAGACCAACTCCCTGACCCAAATACAACGTTTCTCCCTCTCCAACTTCAATCAATTACGTCTGTATTTTGATCAAGGACACATGTGTACTTCAAATAAAGACATGAAGAGGCCGAGGGAACGACCTCCGTTTCTAATCCAACGACATGCTCCAACGGCTTGGTTCAACGACAGGCTACACCAACATGTGTTCTTGAAGCCATTCCAAGAACAAAATGTTGTTGGAGCTGCAACTCCCGTCGTTGGTACAACGATTCTTTTTTTTTGCGTGTACTACCTCACATGTTGTATGTATACCACAATCGTTGTAACTTGCGAACCCACACTCTAAAAAAAATCAGTACAAAATTCTGTAACATTGTTACGCAGTAATTTACATATCACATGTTACAGAAATTTGTATCATTTTTGATACAGATTTCAATCTGTATCACGGATACGAAAATCTGTATCACCTGATACAGAACATCTTTGGGATTTTAAAATTGTAATTCTTCGTTTTGTT